TATATATATATATATATATATATATATATATATATATATAAAGTAGATGCATTTAAGGCCTAGCACTCCTTGAAAGACTTAAGTTTGCTCATTGCCTTCTATGCCAGAGATTTAACCTATGACAGTATGTGTTGTAATTAATTCTCAGCTACTACAATATTAATTTTTAGCTTAAAATCTTTTGAACTGCTGTGTAGGACTTGTGACTGTCCATGGTGTACCCCGTCTCTCATACAGTAACTTCTGGAGATACTCACCAGCTGGTTGGTTGGTTGGATGTTTCATTAGCCAGAGGACACTCTGTTACTACTTTGTACATATATCTAGAATTACTGTGCTGATTAGCTGTTCTCAGTGTTCACAGTTATTTTTAGCACATAGAGACACACCATATTTGGGCCTGCTTCAAAAGTTCCACTGTCATCCCAGTCCACATGAAACCAAAAGTCACATGACTAAATGTCTAACTCGCCTGTCACACTGACTTCTGTAGCAAAGAAATACTTTGAAAACCTGGTTCTCTCCCACATGACGTGCATCACTAGCTCTCTCCTGGACCCCCTGCAGTTCCCCTTTCAGACCCATCAGGTCAACAGACAAAGATATCAACATGGCCGTCCGCAACACATTTGGACTCCTCAGGAATCATCTAGGATCCATTTAGTAGATTTCAGCTCTGCATTTAAAACTGTAGTTTCCAGCTTACATACAGCTGCATATCTACTTTGCAACAAATAATGCAATCTTTAATTACATACAGTATTTTGCTAACAGACAAACAGGGTTGACTCAACAGTTAATGCTAAAGTTTCAGGCAAAGACCTTGCACAGTGAGTAACACTTGAAGCATTGGCATCAGAAACGTTTGTAATTTGGGGGATGGGGACACTCTGATGGGTGGGTCTGCAGGTCCTCCCCAGAATTTTTTAGATGCCATTTCCTGCACTGTGGTGTATTTTAACAATCTGTTAAACATCTATGTTTACCTAAATAACCCTGTGTACTCTACATACCCTGTGTACATAATTTTGTTCCACCTCATGTACCTCATGTGATGGACATGGCAATAAACTTGACTTGAACTTGAATAAGTAATTACTTTGTAGCCTGACCAAGAGCTCTCTCTCCCCCCACACCCCGGTCAACAACTGCTGGCACTAACGTAGCGCTAAGCTAGAGCATAACACAGAGGTGTCTCCCCCTGCCTCGTCAACAACAAAACCCCTCAGAGAGGAACGTTCTGCCAAGCCAAGTGACCTCAGGGAAACACTGCATGTGGTGTGATGACTTGTTGTAGGTAACCAGGAAAACCCGGAATGGATTTTTAGTGGTATGAGTATTCTACTATTAATTAAGTGGAATGGATTCATTCATGAAGAAATAGAAACAGCGATGGGTGAATTAATATTTCATGGTAAATGTGAGGGGGCACGTCCCCTTCATATAGAATTGTTGCGATGCTGATGACTTGAAGTGTGTTTTGAATGGCTCTCAGATTACCACATTAGATCTTATTGCAATACATGTAAAATTCACAGAAATATAGCCATTTTTTGTGGGATTTTTTTTGTTTTGTTTGTTTTTGTTGTTCTGTTTGCTGTGTCAGCCATCTTGAATTGGTGTGGCTCTAGAAGGTAACTAGCTGTAGGTGTATATATGTTTTGCTAACAGACAATTTTAACTCCAAATAGTTTTTGGCAACAGTTTAAGCTAAGTTCTTCTGCATTCTGTTAGCATTCAGAAAGCGCTTGGAGATAAATCTCAGCCATTACTACATCAAATATTGGGCCATTGTCTGAGATTTGTATGAATTGTCTTAGTTGTAGCCATTTGTGTGTTCTACGGTTAATTGGCTGTGGCAGCCATCTTAAATTGGGTTGGTTCCAAAAAGTAACCAGTTGTGGTTGTATACCTAATTAATATTTTCTGCAAATTCCAACAAAGTCTGCATAGCATGTTATGAGGCATTTTGGTTATGCGACCATAAACACAGACATGGGCCAAAAATTATCACTTGCCTTTGGCTTTAAGCAGCAGGCAAAATAGTTCAATATGCAATGCTATCAGTAAAATAAATAGACTGTAAATGTTAGGTTTATTGTGTATTTGCTAAAAGTAATAAGGAATTTTATAGTTCTCTTTAAAGCCATTTGCTAAAAACCTTTTTTAGTTCAGCTTTTGTTTTTTTTATTTAGATTTTAACATTCCCATTTTGTGTTATGGCATGCATTTAATCAATTAATTTTCTGTTTCCAGAGAACAATTATTTATTTTCATAGCTTTCATGAGGATGGTCACACTGTTTGCAGAATGCAAAGATTTAAAACACAGCGTAATAATGAGTCCAATTTAAAAGGCCTAACTGCTTGTTTACCTTATAAATTTGTTATGCCTACTAAATTGTACTTATAATAAGACAAAAGTGACATTATTTTTAAAAAGATAAACCATTGTAGCATTTTAGCTTATTATGCACCTCTCTGCATAATTGTAAATGGTAAAAACTTTTTCCCTACTTTTAGTTGTTCTGGTGAATTGCTGATGGTTGGAAGCTTAAAATCAAACAAGGAATTTCAGACAAATCTGCATTTACTGTACAGAATTATTATTATTTTTGACAGTATTGTATAGTGATCAGAGCATTTTTTTAGATTTACTTTATATAATTTACAGTGTGTACTGCTCTTAAGTCTTTTTGTTTGTTTGTTTGTTTGTTTGTTATGGCAGATGCTCACTGTGCGCACACTAGAGGTCCTGAATCTTTCAGTGTTATAGGACTGGACCTTGTAACACTGATACAAAACTCAGTGTTGTTTTCTAACTCTAAACATTGCAATGTTTTCTGACTTCTCAAATTGATCTTTCTTAAAGCATTTCATTTTAAATGTTTGCTCGTTTATGTTTGGTGCAGTCTGTTTTCTCAGTTATGCTTGTACAAATTATGCTGTTTAAAAGTGATGAAGATATCTCCAGTCTAAAAGACACATTTAAAAAGCATCAGTGCAGCTAAATATACACTGCCCATTGCCCTAGCACCAGCTTGATCAGTGTAACTGGTTAGTAACACAAAAACCAGTGTCTGTCTGTCCATCCGTCTTTCTACTAAACATATATCTGTTGACATTTGATTGTTATCCCCCACGTCAGCAGGGGCAGAAATGACTGTCCATGTGGAAAATGAAGTTTTGTTTGGGAAGGTACTATCAATGAGGCTGAACTGGACCTGCCCTGAAGGAGGACTCTGCTGGGCGCACTCGTCTAACACGTAAACAGCACATGAAACAGCACATGCTAAATTAACATATGTGTTGTCCTTTCAATGCCCAGGTGGTTGAGACAGAACAACGCTCGTTGCCTGGTTTCTCTCCTTCCTGGTTAAATGGAGTCATTCCTCCCCACTGGTCCCAGTGCTGGTTCAGGGTGGGAGATTAAAGATTTAATGCAATCTGTTTGTATACGAACAACTTTTGTACTACTTGGATTTAGTAATGTCATAATTTAATTAAATTATAATATAGATTATAATTATATATTAAAATTTTGTAATATATTGAATGTGACTGAGTGGGAGGAACGACAAACTATTCACTCACAGCAAGAATGTTGCACTTTCAAAAACTCATCTGACGCCTTTCTGAGGACAGTTTTCCTGTTCTCTCCATGCATGGGTTTTCTCTGAGTACTCTGGTTTTCTCCCGCAAACCAAAAATATTATGTTATTTTGTAAGTCTAAATTGTCTCTAGGCGAGGGTGAGAACATGAATGGTTCTCTGTTTCTTTCTCTGAGACCAAATCATCTTTGTTAACTAAAGCAATAAAGGTCATTTTCAACAATATTCACACAATCAATCCACTCAGCCATTGTAACTGGTTTTGGTTTTAATCACGTTTTTGTGATAGCCTATTTACTCACTGGTATAAGAACCAGAAACAGTTATCATATTCATTATATTCTTCAAAAGAAGAGTTTTCCAAATACATTTAGTAACATTTAAAACAAAGAGCAATTCAAAACACTATTTCTAAATGCTAATCTATTTTGTTACAAATTGGAAAAATGTAGGACAAACCTAAAAACATGAGAATGAATGGTGTCATTTGTCCCACATAATCCCCATTACCTTATTATGGTCGCTTGGTGTCTTTTTTGTAAAGGGGTACAAAAATTGTTGGAGATTTTTCCCACTACTGTATATACCTGCCAAGTAACTGATCGTGCACATAGTGACGATTTTAGATGCATGTTAGGGGTGCTCAAGCACCCCTAATTTCTAATTCAACTCCCTGAAAAAAAAAAACATCATTACGATTTTGTAAAGCAGCTTAGTTCTCAAACCGATTGACCAATATATTGAATACATTTGGAATAAATATAGAATATATGATGGCATTCTTAAACAGGCCAGTAAAATATTTTTATTTGCCCAAGTTGGATCCTCGACGCCACCTGTCAGTCAATCCAACAGGCTTGTCAGCAACTGACCAATCAGCAATCTCAATTTTTCCCAAAGTGAAATGCC